ACAACAGCTCAGCCCCACTGAATCTGAGCAACACTCCATCCTCCTGCTCTGCTGGAGACCCTCACTTTACTGAAGTACAGGGTCCCCCTTTCTGGCACAGTGGCAGCATGACGCTTGCTCCTTATTTGCTCCTGCTCTCCAGTGTCATCTCTCTCTCTCTCTCTCTCTCTCTCTCTCTCTCTCACACACACACACACACACACACACACACACACAAACACACCTGTCAACCTCTCCCGGACAACAAGGTCCCAACACCCCAGAGATTGGATATTCTGTAGGGAGGACAAAGGGAGGATAGATCAGGGAGAGGAAATGGCTCATTATAGACCCCCAAACATTCTCCAGGTAACAAACGGTCCCCAAATAGCAAGCTGAGGAAAATCTCATCCAGCAGATGACAGTGTGGGGGTCCTGGATTCATCCCTGTGTGCTATGCCATATCTGGCCACTAGGTGTCACCCTAAGCCTGTTTGTTTTCCATAAAGTGTCTGAAGATTGTCCAGTCTTGCTGTCTTGTTCCTTTTGCTGGTCCCCTGCTGTTGCCCTGCCTGTGGAGGGTATTACTCTACGTAGGGTGTTTGCATGCGTGCATGCATGCACACGCGCGTTTGAATGTGTATGTGTTGTGTGTATGTATGTGGTGTGTTTCTGTGTGTGTGTGTGTGTGTGTGTGTGTGTTTATTTAACCACATCTGCATTAGAATGAGCATGAAATTTCTCTTAAGCTGTTTTCAGAGTCAGAATAAACCCGAGTCTCTAACACGGGTGAGAGGCATCCTGCTTGTTCACAGAAGGAAATTTTTGCTTCCTCATTTTACAGCACAGATTCCACACCGGCTGCCTAGTTTCACACCAGCAACAGGAAAAGCAGTCCTTTTTTGCAGAGAGGGCTATACCTGGTAGTGCTTAGGACTTATTCCCGACTGTGTGCTCAGGGGTCACTCTTGGTAGGGCTGGGGAACCCTAAGCAGCACCAGGGATCAAATTAGGGTAGGTTTCATGCAAAGGAAGCACCTCAGTCCCTGTTTATATCTCTGGCCCAGAAAATGGTTTCTTATCACTTGTAGCTGGCATGTTATCCAAACAGACATTATAAAAACATTTGCTCTGAGTGACGAGGGGTATCAGAAATTCTCAGGATAACAAAATGCCACACTCTTTCTTTTTAATGTTTATATTTGAAATATATATTGATATATATATCATATATATATGTGTGTGAACTAAGGGGAAAAACTCTTTAGATATCATATAAACTCTTTAGATATATTTCCCCCTTTTATGCTCTATTTCAGATTAGGAATACCTAGAGGCTAACAATTTAGAATGGGTATGTATCTTTCCAGTCCTCATTGTAATACATTTTAAATATAGGTGTATGTTCATAAGCAACAAATTACATTTTTGTACACTTTACCGTTTATTTGATTTTTTCTGCATTTTCTCAGTTGGCAGTGTAAATTCAAATTTATCCACATTGTAATAGTTCATTTTAACAAAGTATTACTTAAAGAGTGTTTCTATATTTACATGAAAGGCCCTCCCGTTGTTCATCGATTTGCTCGAGTGGGCCCAGTAACGTCTCCATTGGAGATTTTGTTGTTACTGTGTTTGGCATATCGAATACATCACGGATGGCTTGCCAGGCTCTGCCGTGTGGGCGAGATACTCTCTGTAGCTTGCCAGGCTCTCCGAGAGGGGCGGAGGAATCGAACTCGGGTCGGCCATGTTGGCTGCGTGCAAGGCAAACGCCCTACCGCTGTGCTATCACTCCAGCCCCTATATTTACATAAAGGATGTTTATATACTTGGGTACCTATGCTTATAATAAGCAAAATTGGAAAAAAATCAATGCACACAAACCGGGAACAAAATGAGGAAAGTGAGCATTTAAGATTGTAAAACATCCAAGGGCCAGAGTGATTGTCCACTGGGTCGGTGCTTGCTTTATAAAACTGAGTCTGATACCTGGTACTGCATATGGTTCCTCAAGCCCTGTCAGGAATGATCCCTGAGCACAGCTGTGTGTGGCTTACCACCCTCTGCAACAACTTGTCGGTGTTTAACTTGTCATTCCCACTTGCTTTTTGAGTTCTTTTGTCTTTTTCTCCTTTTTATTATTCTAGAATACATGCTGGGAGATTCCTTGGAACAATTTACAATTTTGCAAATTGTCTCCTCTGCTGTTTAACTCACCTTAATTTTCTTGTCTAGAATTGGTATTTTGCTACAAGTGCATGCATATTTCTGCTTATAAATTTCTATATTTTTTTGTTGTACCTCTTATGGGTTTTTGTCCTTTTAATTAGGATTACTATCAGTCAATATTAAGATCATGACTATTTTTCTTGCTTTTGTAACGTTTACTTATTTATGCAACTGCCAATTCTTTCTACTGGTTGCTTATTTTCTTGTGTACCTCGGCCTTTTCACTGCATGAATAGATTTGCAATATTTTGAAAGATGAGTTTTGGCAGTTTTTGCCTGAATATTTGATGGAAGAAGGCAGCCCAGAAAGATGGTTTTGGCATGAATTCTGTGGTCTGGGTTTTAGCGGTCTCTGTAGTTCCTCCACTGCGCCATGTAAATTCAGAGCTGATGTCTTCTAATGAGATAAGCCTGGGTATTACATTTGTGCAGGAATTTGGACAGATGGAAAGTGTGTTCTCAGCAGGTAGTACCTTTCCCAATCAATCCTCTCTTTAAGGATGTTGTAACCCTTCCAGACTGCAAGCTATATGCACTCACAGGAGTCTTGTCTCCTGTCCCTGGGGGCATTCCAGCTCTGAGGCTCTGAGTCTCTGCTGAAAGCCACCAGATTGTCTGGGATGTCTGTTGTTTCTGTCAGTTGACTCAATTCTTTCCTTTGCTTCAAGTTTTTCCTCTCTTTGCTTCAGGCTTAACTGAATATGCAAATACTTAACATTGTCACATTTAGTCCAGGATTTATTGTTGTGTGTATGGGGATAGTAGTAATGTGTGGGGCACTCCAGACTGCTCTACTTCCGAAGTCTTTGAAGTACAAGCCCCAGGGGACTTGTCAAGCCTTGTGGACACTGTTTATATATCCAGAGGCAATCTGCTTGAGGGTCATCTGTGAGTCAGTGAAAGGAGAGACTGAAGACTTCAACTTTGATCTCTGTTCTCTCTCTTCCTTGCTGAGCGATGTCATTCTGAGCACGTCCTGAACATTCTGAATCTTTCTCTACTCAAATGCCTACACACCCTACTCCAGAGGGCTTTAGGTAGGAAGAACAGTAAGTTCAGGAATGCTGTGCAAAATTTAAGACTGACACAAAGACTTTGGGCAGGATGTGAGTTTTTTGATCGCATAAATGAGTTTACTTGTAGATTTCATGCCCCCTTGAGATTGTACCGGATCATGCTGATGAGGAGAGTCTGCTGGCCTGGGAGGAGGCAGTGGGTCCAGAAAGGCCACAGAAAGAGAGCCCAGGCCAGATGAGAGGACAGTGTCAGTGCCTACAAGGCCCAAAGCAGCAAGTTCTTTCCTATTGGCTACTAGTGATCTTATTACTGACCTCTGAGATGACTGTATCTGAGTGATGGAGATAAGGGCAAGAGTCAGACCCTGGCACCCCATCCCAGACAGAAGCTCTTCCTGTGTCTAGTATTTTCCCCTATCCTTGGCTGATATGACCCAAACTCCCAGTAGATGCCTGATCTGTGGACAGTCCCAAACTAACATGTATTACATTTTCTCCTTGCATACATCCTACTCTAAGAGGTGACTTATAAATTAGACACAGTAAAAGCAACAATGGCTCATAATGAAATAGAGTAATTATAGCAAGAAAGTTAATGAATGCACTATCCTTCTTTTCTGTTAATTTTGTCTGTTTGATTTTGCTTTTGGCTTTTGGACCATAGCCAGAGGTGCTCAGGACTTACTCCTGAGTGACCGGCACTCAGGGATCATTCCTGGTGGGGTTTGAGGGACCATATTGGGTGCCGGGGGTTGAACCAGGATTGGACCTGTGCAAGGCAAGCACCCTACCCATGTGCTATGGCTCAGTCCCCTCCATTATCTTATTTGACTGCAGGAAACCATGGAAACAAAGCCTTGGATTAGGAGGTGGGGAGGGGCTGTAAAGTCTTATCACCCCCAACTTTTTTTTTTGGTACCTTAGTATTTTTCTCCATAAAAAGGAGATCAGATTTGTAATGCTTTCTTGGTTATAATGTGAATTTCATGAGGTAACAAAATCCCTCCAAAAGTGTTACCTTGGGCTTCCAGTTTAATTTTGCTCTTAAAAACACTTTCTGAAGTTAAACAAAAATCCCTATTTAGAATTGAACAAGATCTTAAAAGTTGTTCGGCTATGTATTGGCCAAATATATTCTAAGGTACTTGGCATTTCAAACTCTTTGAGTCCATGATAAATCCCCACTCAGCAGTTTGTTTTCAATTAGTTTCTACATTTCAGTGACTACAAAAATCTCTTTCATTTCTTGCCATTCCCTCACTTTGGACCCCTCAGCATGATTCTTCTGTCAGTGCCACAGAACACAGCTGTTTTGTTTTTGGGAATCCTCTCAGGAGAGAACTGTGACGGGGGCCTTGAGACAATAGTCAAACTTTCTCCACTTTTCTTCTCGACTGTGTCACCTGTTCCCTGCATCTTATTGCAAATAACCTGACCTAGACACTTCTCTTGATAGTCCCTTCCAAACCCTTCCAGAAAACCAAATCTTCCTGCCATTGCGAATGAGTTGGACTTGAGATTAGGGGCTTTGTTGCTAGACACTTGGAGTTAAACAGGGGCTAACTTGCTCTCCACTCGACTTATTCAGTAAGTGGAGTTTTTAATGAGTTTGGTACTCATGGACCTCATTTCTTGGCCATAAAAACATTGTGCAATGGAGAGCTAATGAGCTGATTTCAGTTGGGGCCAATGGTTGATGGCCTCTCTGCTCCCAAGGGTGGGGGAAAGGGGCTGGTTCAAGATCTGGTGTTGACCTATGTCTATGTTTTGCAGGAGCAAGAACTTCGCCTATTTCAGTGATGAAGAAAGATGTTCTCTGTGGGTCCTGAGCAGTGACAGGAGAGCCGAGTGTGCCAGCTTCCTCCACACGCTGGCTCAGACGGACATAACATCTGTCTACCGGCTTAGTAAGTTGTGCCCTGCGGTCCCCATGGAAAGCCTGGAAATTCCAAACTGGATTCAAATCCCATCTAGGGATTTGGGGCTCTGACTATTATTCAAATGATGAATTGGATCATATTTGATTGGCAGCATTGTCACTATAAATTTCTGGCCATTCTGGGGTTGTGGGTTACTGCCTGTCTGGATAGTTTGAGATGTGATGGAACCAGTTGGACCATCACAAGGAGGCCTGCTCCAGTAAGACTTCCTTTGGCCCCTGGGAGGCATTCTTAATGTTCCCGTTTCTTCAGAGGGTGATGTTGTGTGGTTGGATTATAAGGGCCAGGTTCCATGGACCCCACAGAGATTCTGCAGAAGGGACCAGCTCCCAGGAGCAGAGGCTGCATTTGGAGTGTATCTCCGGGCAAAAGGACTTTTGTGAGGAGCACCAAACTGGGAATCGGCACCCTGCCATCACAAAGCAGGCCACGCAATCCCACTGCCTCACTCAGCTGAGTCAAGGAGAGAGCCTGGGGGCAGCTGCCCCGATGGTGGGAATCAGGGACCATCAAAGGATGTCTGGAGAGAGGGCAGACGGCAAACTTGATCTAAAGTCTCCTCCAGCAGAGCTCTGGTGACCTGGAGAGATGCAGGAGCAGGTCCCGGCAGCCCATTCCCTCTTACCTGGAGACCAGAAGTATAAGCCCAAACTTGCTGCATTGGGAATGCACCTAAAGGTGTGTTGACTGCCCTCGACACTTAGGCAAGCAGCAGAGAACTACTCTACTGTCAAGTTCCAGCTCCCCAAATTCTGCTCTGGGGCTATGAGCACCTGTCTCCTTCTGGAGGAGGTGATCCATTGCCGTAGCTCACTTTCCATATGTGATCTTGGGGGTCCTCGCCTGAAAATAAACAGCAACAGCAAGACAGTATGTGAATCCTTCCAAAGTATTCTTGGGCTCCCCTGCATTTGATTGTGGGGCCCTTGGGCACTGTGACACTTGGATCTCTGCAGTGGTCCTCCAGGAAAGAGTTATTTTGTAGAGGGCAGCTACAAAGACTTGACTTGGTGAGGGGTCAGCTGTCCTCAAAGTCCACTGAACTAAGTAAGAGGCTCAGGCAGCAGCTATGTCCCTGCTGGAGGAGAAAGATTCTCTTTCTCCTGCAACATCTGTTCTGGACCTCCACACTCACCCCGTGGCTGTGGCTACTGAGTCAAGTGTGCACGTTTCTTTGCTGCCAAACCTAGCATGTCTTTCTTGAACCTCACTTGTCTCATTTCAGCCTGTGGCATTAGGTGGCTCCCTAAACTCTGTGACTCCTCCTTTCTCTCTGCTGGCATCTTTTAGTCTCCTTCACAGGGCTCCCACCTGCTCTCAAAGGTGGGTTCTGCTCAGGCCCACTTACAGACCCCTGCTCCTCCTCTCTGCTCCACCTACTATTCTTCCTCCTTCCAACTGCTTCTTCTGGGACCTTGACCCACTCCTGTTGTAGGTCACAAATCTACCTTTGCAAATCTCAACTTTGCTTCTGGACTGCAAGATCTCTGGGGTTCCTACAAGTTCTTCAAACTTGAGATGTTGAAGGCTGGGCCCAAGATGGCCATTCTTTCCACCTCGTCCTAGTAGGTGACATTTGAGGTCAGCTATGAGCCTCAGATGCATCTTTTCTTCATGGTTCACCCGGGGATACCTAGCTCTGCCAGTGTTCACTGAATCAAAGCCTTTTGACTGTGAATGGTGGTGGAGGAGAGGAAGGAGTAGAGAGAGGGAGGTAGAGATGTGTGCGTGCGTGTGTGTGTGTGTGTGTGTGTGTGTGTGTGTATGTCGGGGGGAGCATGATGCCTTTGGATTGTGCTTCTAGGTCCTTCTGGGAACTCTCTGGGAGATTTGGACTTTCAGTGGTCACCCCATCTCTGGCCCAGGCCCACGTCTCTGTGCTCAGAGCTTGTTCTTCTAGCTTTCTTTCTTTCTAGTATATATATAATTTCTACCTTATTCCCATTTATAATGTGGGTTCAATAAGATGGTCTTCAGGTCTCTGTAGCCTGATCATGGAGGGGAGAATTCTGCCTGGTACTCAGAGACATAATAGTCTGAAACTGTCTCTTAAGGGTCTGACAGTCTGAGTTTTAACTGTGGACTTGGTCACGATGGCTTCTTTTTTTTTCTTTTTAATTTTTTTATTGAATCAACGTAAGATACAGTTACAAAGCTTTCATGATTGAGCGTCAGTCATACAATATTCAAACACCCATCCCTCCACCAGTGTGCATTTTCCACCACCAATGTCCCCAGTTTCCCTCCTGCCAAACCCCCACCCTATCCCATCCCCTGGCTCTGCTCCAGGCACCTTCCTTCTTACTCTCTCTCTACTTTTGGGCATTATAGTTTGCAATACAGATAGTAAGAGGCCGTCATGTTTGGTCCTTAGTATACTTTCAGCACACTACGATGGCCTCTTCTAACTTAACCCCAGGTATGTTTTTAATTCCTCTCCAGGTGGGTTTGAATCCATCCAGAATCTTCCAAACGATCTGAGCGGTGAGTAGTGATCCTACTGAGCCTGACCTTCAGGACCATGTCCTGTCCCTTAGCCCAGATCTGGCCATTGTGGTTGCAGGAGCTCAGGGTCGCTCAACTCTGCCTGTCCTTACAGCAACCCTACCCGAGGGCATCAGGGAGGCCAAACCTGGCGGGGTTTGGCAGGAACACCCGACTGTGGGCTCAAGACGGTCCAGCAGCTCCGAGGACTCTTGCCTGGAGGGGGATCTCCTCTCAGCTGCCTCAGACAACTATCACCTGCCAGAGCCCGATGACCTCGATGCCCCAGAACTGCTTGTGGACCTCAACACTGGTCAGGAGGACGAAGAGGTGGAGGACTTCGCCCCACTCTTGTCTTTTCTGGACCACCAGGGTTATGCTGACCACTACAAGAGCCTGTACGATTTTTCCTTCTCTTTCCTCACATCTTCCTTTTACAGCTTCTCTGAGGAGGAAGAGCTGGTGGCCTACCTGGAGGCCTCCAGGAAGTGGGCCAAGCGGAGCCACATGACCTGGGCTCATGCGAGGCTCTGCTTTCTCCTCGGCCGCCTGAGCATCAGGAAGATCAAACTCTCTCAGGCCAGGGTGTACTTCGAAGAGGCGATGCACATACTCGATGGGGCTTTCGAGGACCTCCCCTTGGCAGCAGCTCTATATATCAACGTGGCCGCCATCTACTTGAGGCAGAGGCTACGGCTGAAAGGCTCGGCCTTGCTGGAGAAGGCAGGTGTGCTGTTGGCCTGTCTGCCGGACCGAGAGTTTAGTGCCAAGAGCGAGCTGGACGTGGTGGCCTACGTGCTACGCCAGAGTATTGTGGTGGGCAGCGGCCCGCTGGAAGCCAGGGCCTGCTTTCTGGCCATCCGACTCCTCCTGACCCTTGGGCGGCATGAGGAGGTGCTGCCCTTTGCTGAGCGCCTGCAACTCCTGTCTGGACACCCCCTGGCCTCAGACGCAGTGGCTACCATCTTGAGCTTTCTATATGACAAGAAGTATCTTCCCCACCTAGCAGTGGCTTCTGTCCGGCAACGTGGTACCACCAGTGCCCAAGGGGTTTGTCTTCCCCTATGGCAGGTCCACCTGGTCCTCCAGAACACTGCAAAGCTCCCTGGTCACCCCTCCGTAACTTGGGGTGAACTTTCTGCCCTGGCCTGCCCAGCACTCAGGCAGGCCCTGGCTGCATGTGAGGAGCAGGCCGATCGGGTTACCCAGAGGGCCTTGTGTCTCATTCTGTCCAAAGTGCACCTTCAGCACAGGTCCCCTGAAGGTGCCATCCACTACCTGAGCCAGGCCCTGGTGCTGGGGCAGATGCTGAGTGAGCAGGAAGCTTTTGAATCTTCTCTCTGCCTGGCCTGGGCCTATCTCATAGCCAACCAGGCTAAGAAGGCTGTGGACCTCCTGGATTCCCTCTTGTACTCCCTGAAGGAGACCAAGAGCATTACCCAAAAAGGGGTGATCCATAACCTCCTGGGACTCTCACATTCCAGGGAAGGCCGGCTGAACAGAGCCACCAAGAACTACATGCGCGCCCTGAGCAGAGCCCAGGAGATGGGGGACGTGCGCAACCAGGCCGTGACACTGGCCAACCTTGGACACCTGACGATGAAGTCCCAGACTCAGCAACCATGCTGTGCCTATCTCATGCAGGCCATCCGCCTTTACTCAGAACTGCAGGCCAGCAGGGAGACAGACCTGGAACTGGTGCAGGTGCTGCTCTGGTTGGCCCAGGGGCTTTTGTTTGGACACCAGCTGGCCTACAGCCAACTTTGCTATGAACTAGCACTGCTGTTTGGGTTAAGGCATCGGCATCTAAAGAGTAAGTATGTGCAGACTGCTGGGACACTCTTGGTACAATCTTGGAGCATGTGTTGCCCTGGTTCAGTCTCCAGTCATCTCATTCCTGTCCCTGCTTTATGTTCAGGTCAGCTTCAGGTCACCCAATTCCTCTGCCATTTCTACAGCTCAGTGTTCCCCAAGCCTGAGGCCTGTATCACCTACCATGAACACTGGCTATCTCTGGCTCAGCAACTCAGGGACCGGGAGATGGAGGGGAGGCTGCTAGAATCCCTTGGGCAGCTCTACCGGAACCTTAACACGGTCAGGTGAGTCTGGGCTTAAGGACCATACTGGGAATGTTATTTCTTCCTTAAGGAGAAATGATTTCCTTAAGCTCGGGAAGTTAAGTTCAAGCATATGTGGCTCATTTATGGCGTTGTGAATGAGAACCCTGGTTCTGGTATAGCCATTACCCATTAGCAAGAACTGTTGTGTCTCCATGACTTTTGCTTCCTTGTCTGTCTGAGGAGGTGCTCCTGGTATCAACCAGAGAGCACTGTTATGAGAAATGAATGACAGATTGCACTTGAAATGCCAAGAGTGGCCTGGACCCAGAGAATGGGTGTGGGGACTGGGATTGGGTGGTTTCGGTGTTTCCATAACCACCATCCTGTGACCAGAGTTAAGGGTGCTCAATTCAGGTCTGGAAGATCCCAGCAGGTCACCCAAATGGTTAGTTTTAGAGAAAAAATGCCTCAAGTCAATGAACCAACAAACTGAAAGCAGAATTTCATGGTAAGAAAGGCTTAGATTGGATCAGACCTTTACAAAGAAACTGAAAAGAATGAAATATTTTTGCCATTGACTTAAGAAACTTAGGTTACAAGAATGTGCTAAGTTGTAGAAGCAATACACAAAAGAAGTTTTGGCTTTTTTAGCTTAATTGTGTTGACAAAAGTGTCAATGAGACTTTTTTTTTTGTTGACAGTGAGACAGACTTTGTTTTGTGGTTGACTTTTCCGCATGCTCTTGAAAGAGCTCATGGTTTACAAAAACATATCAATGGAACTGTGTTATTCACAAGGACTCTTTTAACCCTTTGGTATATAAATCTATCTTCAAGAAAGAAATATCCTGTTATCTCCTGTTCATTTTCTTTGCAGGTCTTCTCTCTTTGATTCTCATTTGTCATGGTTTGGCTTTCCATCCTGCCCTCTAATCAGCCTGTCTTTGATTCCATTAAACCCTGCATGGTGTGCGAGATATTCAATTTCACTTGGGAACTTATTGGTTTTGTGGCATTATATTCATAATTATGAATGGCATCTAAAATAGGGCAAGGTTGATTGCTAGTGTTAAGTAGAGAGAAGTGATTGAAGAGAAGCTAATTAAGAGACTTATCTTGCTTTGCTAGGCAACAGGGTAACCCTGGGCGCTCTCTTAGTTGTGTGTGTGTGTGTGTGAGAGAGAGAGAGAGAGAGTGAGACAGAGAGACAGAGAGACAGACACAGAGAGACAAAGAGAGAGAGAGAAGAATCTGGTATCTTCTCAACTTCCTGTTGCCTTTGTCTTTAGCACCAGGAAGAAAGTTTGGGGTCCTGGCAAAAGGTGAGGGGCCAAAGTTTGACCACAGCCTATCCTGCATGACTCTGGGGCTTCATCCTAGATAATTTCAGGGTTTGTAGCACATAAAGAAGGCAAGCTGGCTTGAACTTGATAGCTCCAAACAGTCATACTCTAGGGAAGCATCACAGGACCAGGCATTGGGAAGTCTGGGAGTGGAGCAAGAATGGCAAATTGGTGTCAAGCCTATGGATAGGTGCAAATTCAGTCTTGTATGGAGGCTGGTCCTGGCCATCCTCTCTGTTGTCAGTCTTTGCCTTCTTCTCTCTTTGCCACCTGTAGCGATGGAAAACCCCCAGAAATCCTCAGGGGGAGCTCCTAAGGAAAGGCCTGAACTCTGCCAACATGAACTGTGGAGGCCTCACCTGGACAGTTGGGTGGTTACTGTCCTCAGGTGCTAGGGTGCTCAGGAGAAGGTAAGAAGTGGGACTGTTATTGGTCCCAGAAGTGATTGGAAGAAGTTGAAGCTACAGAGCTTGGGAGGGGCAAACCTGGTTACAGGTCAAAACACTTGATTCTTCCCCAAACTATAATGTGTTCTGAAATAGCTCAGTTCTTCTCTTGGTCAACCCATTTATAATGGTGAGTGAGGTGTCTTTCCTTTCTAAAAGGTTGAACCTAGAGTCGACTAGTTATGCTCTCCTGACCCTGAACAGCACTGTTAGGATCAGAACTCCCACAGCTTCCAGAGTCTTGAATTTTGTGGGGTGGGGGATGGCAGTGTGTGTGTGTGTGTGTGTGTGTGTATGTGAAGAGGGTTCTTCAAGTTGTAGTCTTTCAAGGGGTCTTTTATGCCAGAGACCTAAGCTTTTGGGGTTTTAAAGACCTCTAGGTGGTTGATTCAGAAGGTCTCGGTGCAGTGACGTGAACTCCATGCCTGCACATGGCTAGCACAGAATGAGGTTCAGAGGAGATATGCGACAAATGTCAGTGTGGGGGACCCAAGTCTTCAGTTCATTACTGTCAACCTTGAGCAACTCTGGAGGTCAGGGGCACCAGCCTCCTGAACAGTTGAAAAATTTGCATGTATATTTTGAGTCCCCCACACTTTACTCTGAAGACTCCGATGGCCTGAAGTACTTATTGAAGACATGAACATGTGCATTATTCTTTATGTAGCAGAAGTGGGTCATCAATGAGGTCTTTACTCTTGTGGCCTCTATTCCTGAGGAGGAGGTGGAGGAGTGATTTCTTGGGCATAGGAAATTGGGCCCATCCTTGCTCAGTTATGGGGTCTTTCAGACCCCTGGAAATGTGATCGAGCCTTTCAAAGACTGTTCTGAACATCCCATTCCCCAGTCTTTCCTTTCTTTTCTTTGTGTGTTTATGTATTTGTAGCTGCACATTTTATTTATTAATCTACTTATTTATCTCTTCACTCCAGCTTCTTGTTTGCTCCCAAGGCTTTCGCCACCTCATGCAGCAGTATTAGGCAACTGCTGTTGATCTTTTTGGACAAAATACCCTGGGGGAAAGGGTAGTCTATACAGAGAGGACTCTGGGTTAGTTGAATAAAAACAAGTCCTGTGAGTAGAAGTTTCACGGAACATTCAGAGAGGTCATGCAGTGATGGTTCCTGGGAATGTAACTTTGGGAAATTCAAGCTCATGGTGCACCCTCTGCCCCAGTGACAGCTCAGCTCTGTGTGTGTGTGTGTGTGTGTGTGTGTGCGCGTGTGTGTGTATACCCATGCATCTTTATTATCAAAAATAGATTTAGGGTCAGATTTGACTCACATACCATGGTTTATCAATCTCTGGTCTAAAATAACATTGTGTTATTTTATTTGGAAACAATTTTGCAATTCTTCTGTGTAAGCATCCTTGAACCCTGCCCGTTCCCTCAGATGCTTCACATGCACAGTATGCCTTCCTTTTCATCTCAGTGAGAGGAATTCAGTGATGATATCATAAGCTATCTCGAAGTAACGACAGACAAAGCAGTATGTTAAGGAAGATGCTTCAAAATGTAGGTCTGAACTGAGCTCTGGCTCTTGCCCAATGTGTGATCTTATATATAATACAACACCTTTCAGACTGGAGCAGTAGTACAGTGGGTAGGGCATTTTCCTTACATGAGGCTGAACCAGGTTTGACCCCCCAACATTCCACGTGGTCTCCTGAGCACTGCCAGGAGTAATTTCTGAGCGCAGAGCCAAGAGTAACCCCTGAGCATCTCCGGGTGTGACCTCAAAAGAAAAATATACACAACCTTTCTGAATCTTGGATTGCTGGTGGGCAGAATGGGGATCATAGATGCACGCTTTAAGATCTGGGAGAGGAATAAATATTTATCAGACTCCCAGCCTAATGATTGACTTGGAACAGGCACTCAATACATAGTCATTAACCCACATTTGTTCTATAAATAGCATAGTGAAAAAGAACAGATCCAGCCTGAATGAAGAGAATTCCCTTGTGGGTCCAGCCTTCTGACCAGTATTGGCACTAGAGCAAGAAGCAGCAGGGATCACTTAACTTTATGTAAGGCTAGATAAGAAGGTACCACTATAGTTGAAGACATACTTCGAGGCAGATTTGGATCAAATGCTTCTCATTAATTGTTTGTTAGTCCATCCCACTTAACCAAATCCACTTGGCTTTTGGTGGTTTGGGACACCGTCCCACACTTCCATTGAAGTAACAAAATCGTGCTCTTCATTCACTGACTCTCAACAGCTGCAGCTGGTGAGTGGGAAACCTTGCGTCAACAGCCTCCTCTGGCTTCACTCTTCAGTTCATGGGACCAGTCACCTTTTCCTCAGCTTAACCAATGCTCAAAAGTCAGTCTTAGTAATGGCAGGACACATGGGAATCAAGAGCTTTCCAGTGAGGGAGCAGCATCACTATGGAGAAGGGGCCATAGTATATTAGGTTCTGGTGACCATGGATATATCAGGTTCTGGTGACCATAGGTGTAACAGGTTCTGGTGATCATGGGTGTATCAGCTGCTGGTGACCATGGGTCTATCAGCTACTGGTCTTTTTAGCTCCCCTGATAGCCAGGATTTTGGTTTTGCCACTGAGCTGGTAAGAGATGCCTCCAGTTAGATAAAATGAAAAAGAAATGAAATTCACTGTTCTTAACAAGATTGAGCTACTTTGTTTGAGAATAAGCACTTCTCAAATTGTCACAAGTAATTTCCAGAGTTTAGTAAACAATGGTTGTGGCTCTTTTTCCCTCATTGCTTTTAAGGGGATGAAGAGTTTTGGAGGCTCTCACTCCATTGTTCAGACTTGATGCAAATGAGGATCTTTTAAAACTGGCACTGGAAAATTCTAAGCTCTGAGATTTTTACTGTTTAATTGGGAGGCCTAAACAATTGCTTCTGCTTTACCCACAAAATGAAAGAAGACTGCAGACCCCTTTAAAAATTTTTTAACTTAATTTTTATAAAGTTGTTCACAATAATTTATTACATTTAATATTCCAACACCAATCTCACCACCATTACACCATCCTACCACCATATTTCAAATGTTTCCATCCCAACTCCCAAGGTCTGCCCCTAAAGCAGGACCTAAATAAGTTTATTTTGTATTGCTTGTTATGAATAATCTGCTAAAAATGATCCCAAAAAAGTTTCCTTAGAGGAAAATGTGTGAATATTGTTGTTTTTAACCATGGAGTCATTAAGCCCTTGTATAAGAGATTGTTAACATGTTGTTAAAGGTTGAGCCTTGTGTGCTAATATATATGTGTA